GGGGGGGGGCCGGGGCGGCCGCAGGTGCTGGAGGGGGGGGGCCGGGGCGGCCGCAGGTGCTGGGGGTCTCGCCGCCTCGGGGCTCGGGGCCCCCAGGAGGCCTGCCCGCAGGCGCGGTGGCTTCGGTGGGGCCGCGGCCCCGCAGCGAGTCCTCGGGCGGGCCGGGAGCCTGACCCACCGCCGCCCCCGGGCCGTTAGCGGCGCCCCGGCCCGCGCCCCCCGCCGGCCGCTGCGTGTCCCGCGCGCTGCGGGTCGGGGCGGCTCACACGCACGCGGCTGCCCTTCGCGGACGTTTCGTGCGCGTCCCGCTCGCCAGGCCCCTCCGTCTGGACCACCAGTCCCTAGTGTGTCCCTTTCTACTGACTTGGAGTGTAGACCGCCCTGCGTGCGTGCACTCGCCCGCGTGGACGCTGGAGCCGGTCCCAGGGCCAGGCCAGGAGGGGCGGTGCGGCCGCGGCGTCGCCGCTACCGACTGCGGACACGCGGCAGCCTTCCTCGGGACGCTCCTGCGCGGCACGTGTCCACGCGGTCCTGCACCGGAGTCTCGCAGGGAGGGGTGACACCGAGGCTTTCCTTTCCAGGAAGCGAATTTACCCCCGCCGCCGGCCTAGTTGGGTTCCGACCCAGGGAACTGAGCCCCGAACACCACGTGGCGTGGTTTTTCATATAGTTTTTCCTTCTTTGTCTCCCGCATAGGGTGACACACACACATGCAGCCTGATTAGTGGTCTCCGGGCACAAGGCCGCGAGGGATGCCGTCACATGCGCCTTTGGGGTTTTTTCGTTTCTTAGGGAGAGGTCCCTGCCGCATTCACCTTCGCCCCTTTGATGCTCAGCCCTTCCCCATCTCGAGTTCAGTCCGCCCGGGACCTGCCGTCTGATGGCTGCCGGACACGGTCTCAGGCCTCCTGGAGATGAGAGAAGGGGGTGGGGACCCGGCTCAAGGTGATCTGCCCCCCCCATGCGCCCCTCCATTGGGGTTTTCAGGGCGGTTGAGTTATAAAATCTTTGGCCCAGGCATGGTGAGTTTTTTTTTTTTTTAATTTTTTTTAGTGTTTTTATTTATTTCTAGGAGAGAGAGTTTCTAGGAGAGAGAGAGAGAGAGAGAGACAGCGCAAGCAGGGGAGGGTCAGAGAGAGAGGGAGTCACAGACTCTGAAACAGGCTCCAGGCTCTGAGCTGGCAGTCAGCACAGAGCCCGACGCGGGGCTCGAACCCACGAACCGTGAGATCATGACCCAAGCGAAAGTCGGACGCTCAACCGACTAAGCCACCCAGGCTCCCCCAGGCATGGTGAGTTTTTAACAGACGGCGGTGAAATTTTCCCCACTAGGCAAGACGGTTTTTCCCAATAACTGACCTTTTGAGAAGCCAAACCCCGGTAGTAGGATTGGGGTATTTTATTTTACTGTAAGGTTCCTGGGATCTAGTTTCCTAGTCTCCTATGGCCATTGCTTCCCCACGTTGGGGCCAGCGGAGGGTCCTATCCGCAAGGGGAGGGGGAGTGTTCCCAGAAGCCTCTCCCCACATTTCCCGCCGGCCGGGGCGTCCCGGCCAATCCTCTGGCAAAGAGTAGAGCGAGGATCCCAGAAATCGTGCGAACCCAGGCCGGACAGCGTGTCGCTGTAGGGACACACAGAAATGAGGACAGTCTTGTTTCCCCGGACCGTCGATTCCTCGAGTGTAGATGGGTCGGCTTCTAGCTTCCGGAGCGACTCCAGCGGGGCTGCCCCCCCTAAGCCCCGGGGCCTCTGGGGCTGCAGGTCGCCCCTTCCGTGTGGGCGGCTCGCGGGGCGGGGACAGACCAGGCAGCGCCCCTGGCTTCGGGGTGCCGGCCTCACTCGGCCGTAGGGAACCCGGGGACCCGCTTCAGTTACCCTGACTGCAGGAGGGTGGACAGAATGACCGGGATCGGGCCCCTCCTGAGGGGCTTTGGGGGTTGGACATGTCCCTCCTTTATCCACACAGCATCTCCTGCCTTAAAGGGCTGAGCGTCGGTGGTCAGGGTCACAGGTAATCGCCCCCTGACCCGGTGGGGAAAGGTGGTCAGGGTAGAGCCTAGGGCCCCCATCTGTTGTCTTAGGGTTAGGTTGTCTCTCACTTAGACCCCCCCCCATGCCCTTGATAATGGGGGGAGGGCGCCCATAAAGGATTTGATAAGGGGACAACCTCATCTGCTTGTTCAGCCTCCCACCCGCAGCTCCATCCGCCTCCCTCAGGGCCCCTCACCTTCCTGCGTAATGTCACCCCGTCCCCCCTTATCCCTCCCCTGGAGCAGGGCCAGTGACTGCTGTTGGGGAGCAGGGACGATGACCGTCCTGGCTGCCTCAGGCGGATACGGGACGTGTGGGGGCACAGCCGGCAGAGTCTCCCCCAGGGCTAGTCGCGTGGCTCCGGAGTGGTTTTCCAGGGAGGCGGCGGCGTGGGGCGGCATCGACAGTAGCAGACGCGGAACAGCACCAAGTAAAGATGATCCTGACCAACACGGTGGCATCTTAAGATCACGTCTATAGTTTCAAACCTGTCAAATAATCTAGGAGAGACCTTGACTTTGTAAACCTGTCAGGGAATCTCTCACAGCCCAGGTGACGGAGAAGCAGAAGTAATCAACAGTGGCTCTCTTTCCAAGAGTTTGGCCCTAACTTAATTAAAACAATTTTTTTAAGCATCTTAAGCTTGTGAAATGTTATAGTTTTGCTGCGTATAGGCAGACAGTCTGCTTTATTTCCAGGTGGAAGACCTTTTCAAGAGAAGGATTCTAGAGAAAGAGTCAAGGCAGACATTTACCATTAACTTGTAAATTTTTAGGTCGGCCAAAATGGGCATTGTCTTCTAAAGCAGAATTCTTATTTTTGAGCCTTTTCCGTCTTGCAGGGGAGGGCCTTTACCTGATCAGTATCGGTACTAACCCATATCAACAGATGTTGGAACTTTCTTCTTTTGACCTTGGCATCTGAGGGAGACCTAACGGTTAGTCTCTCCTGGAGGGTCTCCAGTTCGATCCTCTGGGAGGGCAAGTGTGTGGCTGAGAGAGTGGATCTAAGACCCACTTCACAGCCTGATGCCACTTGCAGAACTGCCCTTGACAAATGTCCACTAAACATCCTTTGGGCCATTTGATGAGTTTTGTCCCTCCCTAAATGGAAGGCCCGATGCGGTGTTTTCATGGTCTTTTAACCCTGTGAGCTCGGTCATCGTCCTTGCCCTGCTCGGTTTGTGACCTTTCCAAGGGCTGGGGACCGTGTCCAGGAGTCAGGCCCCAGTTTATTTTTGGGGGAGCGTAGGTGGGATGGAGTCTCCTTTAATAATCGATACAGCAGCGCACTATTCTCCTGAGCCCTGGTGTCTGCCGCCTGCAGTACCCAGTGATCTCTGAAGTCTCACCACCGTTTATCGGCCCTGGAGTGAGTAGCCCCCTCCCAGCAGGGGGGTGAGGCTCCGGCCGTGTCCGGAAAGGAGGAAGAATGAGGTTTCCCCACACACGCCCCAGGGGCTGGGAGAATAGTTTAGGTAGAAGTTTCCCGAGGTGCCTCTGATGGCCAGGCTGCGTTTGGCTGGTTGGCCTGGGGTGGAGGGAGGTCAGAGAAGGAAGCTCTGGGCTTAAGGAGGGAATCGGCCAGTGCTCCTTCCACGTTTGCGGTTACCCGAGGTTCCGGGCTTCTGACGGGCAGTGGCTCAGGGGAGCCACCGTGCAGAGCCCAGGCCCCGGCCAGCCCCTTCCAGGGACCCTGGTTACCTGAGCCTCAGAGAGGTCCCCGCGGGCACTCAGATCCAGTGACGGTCTCTGCACAAGGGGCCTGGCTTGCGGGGTTTCACTGTGGTTGTCGCCTCTGAGGACGTTCTCACCTTCGGGCTCTGAACGGACATAGAAATGGCACTTGGTGCCAGGACCTCGGGGAGTCCGGTCTGACTTAGTACGTGGGGTCACGACCAAGGCCTCGGGTTGTTTTTGTTTTTAAACCTCCTTTTTTTTTCTTTCCTATGTTTCTGTTTTTGGTTGTAACACACCCAATTGGCAGCCCGTAAGAGCTGCTCCAGGGTCCCTTCAAGGCCAACAGCCAACGTGTGCATTTTCCCTGAGTATCTAGGGCTGACTGAGTGACAGATTTGTCCTTTAAATAATCATCTCCGCCTCCGGGGTGTCAGCCGTATACTTAGTGAGAGCCTCCCTCAACCTCTCCAGGAAGGCCATCAGGCTCCCGTTCTGTGTTTGTAAAACAGTGGCTAATGTAGCATAATTTAAGGGCTAAATCTTAGCTTTTCTTAATTTTTCCCCCAAAACATCTGTCTCATGAAGAGTCTGATTTAACAGAAGCATTATATCTTTCCAAGTCAACTCAAAAACATAGTAGTATTCTGAAATACTTATCCAGTCAGAAGATTTACCTAGATCTCCTTTTATCGGTCTTCAATCTTATAAAGGGTTTTTTGGTTGATGTTGTTTCCTTCCCGTCATTCTAGCTTCCCGTAAGGAAACCTGCCCATTACATTACGGGAGGCCAGGAGAAGGTGGGTGCAGGGAGCAGATTTGTATTATGTTTACATATATATTGAGGACCCGGGGGGGGTGGGGGGAGATGGAGGCCTTCCCTGCCCCCTCCGCCGGGTCTGTTTTGGACCCAGGTAAGGGGCCCTTAACTGTTTCCCCTCCTGACTGCTGGACTTGAGAAAGGGTTGCCATTAAATTAGGGTCCACCTTATGTTGTTAACCTGTGTCTTGAGTTATTCTTAAGGCCCCAAAACAATGAAAATAGGGAAATTCTCCCCGTTTTCCTTCCCATTTGCAAAACGCGTCCACTTGTAGGATAGTGTGGTCGTTGATATTTCCGCTGGCAGCCAAGTTCCGCCTTCCAGTTCGTACGGGGCCAAGCCTTTGTGTAGAAGAAATGAATCGTACTGCTTTCCTAACAGCAAAGGCCTCGGGTGGGGAATCGCCCGTCTCTAGGGCAAAGGAAGAAGGTTGTCCCTCATCTCGGCTCCCCGTAGCCGCCCCCGAAACCTCCTCTCCGGGCCCTGCCTTGGGCCGGCTGTGCGGCAGGAAAAGCCCTGTCAGCCTGGTGAGGTGCAGGGGTCGTCCGTCTGACCCGGGCTTGACTCTGCCTCCGAGAGCCGCCGGGTCTTTCCCGTTTCCCTTTTTACCCCCAGCAGGGCCTTGAGGGGTAGGACTGTGGCCAAGCAAGACTTTCCTGGTTGTCTGGGATGCACTGATTTTACTCCGGCCCAGCAGTCACTTACACGTTGATCATTGGCTGCTGAGGGAGGGGGTTAAAGAGCCAGAGTCAAGGTCGATTCCCCCGCCTTTTCAGCAGTGCCCACATCAACCTGCCTCAGCCACGTGGGCGTCCGCGTGGGCAGACAGTGGGCTGCGTCTGCTGAAATGGCTCGCATGTGCCTCAGGAAAAGCCCTTCAGGTATCGCCCATCCGTCATCTGGCAGAGGCATCCCTTCTTCTGCTCAAACAGGAAGAGCACAAATCTGGAAGATTCGGGGCCGCAGCGAGGGTATTGCCGTCACTTCCCAGCCTTAGGATCAAAGGAGGAGGAATCTTCATCTTAACCCTGTGCACTTAAAAAAAAGTTGTTTTTAATGTTTTATTTGTTTCTGAGAGAGAGAGAGAGAGAGAGAGAGAGACAGCGTGAGCAGGGGAGGGTCAGAGAGAGAGGGATTCACAGACTCCGAAACAGGCTCCAGGCTCTGAGCTGGCAGCACAGAGCCCGACGCGGGGCTCGAACCCACGAACCGCGAGATCGTGACCTGAGCTAAAATCGGACACTCAACCGACTGAGCCACCCAGGCGCCCCATCCCTGTGTACTTTTAAAATACATTTATTTTGGGGCGCCTGGGTGGCTTAGTTGGTTCAGCGTCCGACTTTCGCTTAGGTCATGATTTCGCGGTTCGTGGGTTCGAGCCCCGCGTCGGGCTCTGCTGACTGCCAGCTCAGAGCCTGGAGCCTATTTCAGAGTCTATATCTCCCTCTCTCTCTGACCCTCCCCTGCTCACGCTGTCTCTCTCTCTCTCTCTCTCTCCTAGAAATAAATAAAAATATTTAAAAAAAAAATAAAAAAAATAAAAATAATAAAATACATTTATTTTAACCTTAGTCTGTCCTGACCACACATCAAATTTCTTTTTAAAGGTTTTCCTTCATGAATCTTGTACGACTTTTCTTTGCACGTAGATTTTGTCCCAAACCATTTCTCTCCAAATAACCGGGTCTCACTGAGGACCAAATTACTTTCTTTTAGCTTCAACAAAAATAGATTTCCATTTTTTTTGTTTTTCTTATGTTTTTCCTTCATATCTCTTACTTTTCTGCATACAGAGTTGCTTTTCTTGTTTTTATCAGTTTTAATTACATTTGGCAGAACTTTAACTCGTAGAAACCTTAGTCTGCCGTGAAGACTAAGTAGTAACCAGTTGTGAACTCTATGTTATATTAGAATTTTTTTTTTAGATGGCAAACCTATGAATCCATTAGGCACACAGCATGGTTTCCAACGGTTCCCTGTATTCTTAGTTTTTTGCAACAAGTCAGAGGCACAAACCTACATCTAGTAATGAGTGCTTTGGCCTCTTCTCTCGTTAGATCGCCAATGAATTCAATCTCAATTTCTCATGCAAGCCGAACTTTAACGTTTAGGTTACCAAGTGCTTTGAAAGCTATTTTAACCATTATCCGTGAAAACGTTGAGACAAAGTTAACCATCACTTTAAGTCATCCTTTTATTAACAGATTGGAACAGAGATCACATGAGCCTAGAGGCGCCTGGGGGCCTCAGCTGGTTAAGTGTCTGACTTCGGCTCAGGTCCTGATCTCACAGCTCGTGGGTTCTAGCCCGCATCGGGCTCTGTGCTGACAGCTCAGAGCCTGGATCCTGCTTCAGATTCTGTGTCTCCCTCTCTCTCTGCCCTTCTTCTGCTCACTCTCTGTCTCTCAAAAATAAATAAGTGGAAAAAAGAAATTAAAACTAAACAAAACACATGAGCCTATTTGACCTTCAGCAAATGTAGGTAGAATAAAAGTTCATTTTTTAAAAATGTTGATAAACTGTATCTCAAACCAACAAACTTAAGTCAGCTTAAACACTGAGTATGTTTTCCTTGAGTCCACGGACGGCCATTTGTTCCCCGTGGTTAATTTGGACCTGGAACGTAGGTGGGGACATCTGACATCTGTGGTCTTCGCTCGGGACATCTAGGGCCGGAGGAGCAGGAGCGGATGGTGCCCGAGGCGCCGAGGCGCCAGTCATGGGGGGGAGGGGCAGTGTCCCCCCTCAGGTGGGGCAGACACGGAGGAGGGGGGACGGGAGGGCAGACGGGAAGTAGAGGCCGAGAGAATTCCCAGCTTTAAATCCCGTCAGCTCAGAGGAGGCGACTCCAGGGCTTTGTTCAGTCTCGTTCTCCCCCGTGGAATCGGGCGGCGCACGTCCGTCCGGAGAAGACCGGGAGTTTCCCCGAAGCAAAGGCGTTTCGGCAGCTGCGTGGGAACATTCCTTCAGGTCCCCGTTCTGAGGCAGAATAACCAGGGACAGTTGGCTCCAATTATCAGTCACTGGCCCAGGAAACGAAGGCGAGACCTGTCCCCACACAGTCACACGGCGGCTCCGGCCTGCGCCCGGCGCCCTGGACTTGCAGCTTCGTTCCCCTTCCCTGTGGACTTA